TAATGAACTCTTATATTAGATTTTACAAAACAGCACATATTGATATTCCACCTTCTCGTAACTTGTTGTACTGTATCGTATATAATTGTTTGATAGCAAATAATCAAAGCATCTGATGAACCGTGTGCACACAGAATTTGGGCTTGTTTGTGATACATTAAAAGGCACTATATTTTCATTGGACCTGTTTTTTTTTCGCCACTGACATTCAGCTTGAGTGAAACACGCCTTTGAACTTGGTTCTTTCTTCTCGTGTTTTTTGTAGTTCACTTAGATCTTTTGGAAGATGACAAGCTGACCCTGTAGCCCTACGCGTCCCTACTGACCCCATATCATCCTTGTAACAGCAGCGATAGCAGTTGCAGATAAAACGGCCTGATTTTTAGCGTCGTTAACTTAGAAGGTCGTTTTGGCCGACGAGTGACTGACTGCATGGCCGCAGCCTTACGGGAGCTCGCGTTTCATAATACCCAGAAGCAATGCGTCGTCGGCAGCATTGAGAGGAATACTTTGTTGCCCTTGAAGACTGGGGTATAGCGAGCGCGCCGCAATTGGCTTTTTGCTCGTTGCACAGCCGAAACGAATCTCTTTTGAAATACTCGGATGATTTGTCCTGTCACTGCTTATTCACAAATCAAGCCGACAACTTCGTTCGATGCTGCGAAAAAGAGCGAAGCACATCCAGCCGAACCATCGACTTCGGCCGCGCGTTAGGTGTGACTTGAGGTCGAAGAGCAACGAGGACTTTGCGTTCGTCACGTTTATGCGTCTACTGTCGGAAAGGCGTACAGCGCACTCAGTCCGCCTCTACTTAGACCACTACAAAACTTTGGGCCTTATGAGACGAGAGGAAAGGTGAGCAAAAGTGCGAGCATTAAAGAAACGCGTTGCCTTTCCCCAATACGCACTAGGTTCCCCACGTCATGCTATAGAAACATCGTATTCGAATAGGGGAACGCTTTTGGTGCGGTTGGAGAATCGCAGCTGGTAGCAGCACAAAGGCGATATCAGCATATTGCCATATACAGAAGATGTTAGGAAAATTGCGGGGCGACTTCATCTTTGGACAATAGCACAATTGACACGTGTGTAGGATGTTTTCTTCTGACGTAAAAGTGGTAGTCAAGAGTTTTGTTAGGCTTCAGTAGGTCGTTACTTTTAACCAATATATATAAATTACCATTAAAGCCATCTAGTCTTGTTCGCCCCGTCTTTCGTTAAGCAAGAAGTGAGATCTATTTAATGTCTAACATTATTGTTTGACGACTGCAGCAATAACTGCAGTAGATAGCCAACGCTTGAAATGCCGTGACGAGGTTTGCCAGCGTGACCCGCACATTGTAAATCGCATCACATAGTTTAGTTCCAAAAAGTCTACTCTAGGAGTTATCAACCCGAAATGGTGATAGAACCTCGCATCAGGCAATGATAAAGGACGTGTCGTTGACCGGTCGCAGGAGAGGTTACCTGAACTGCGGGTCGCGCGAGTTCCTGCAGATTGCGCCCAATACCTTTCCATTGTTGTGGACTACACATGTAGTATATGTGCTGCCAGCTTGACTCCTACATCCCGTCTTCGTTCGGACAGATCAGTGTAGCCAGAACCTGTAACAACTCAGAAGAAAGCAGCAATAGTTTTACCCAACACTTAGACTACCTTCATGTCTGGCCACTTTGTATGCACGAATCACTGCACCAGGCGGTTGAGACATCTAGGTATCTACTGTACAGTTAACACCTGATAGGCAACTAGCGCTGCAGCCGAAATGTTCCTGTTTGGAGGGAAAGCTATTATAGCTCTCATTTTCTGTTTTTCCAAGGACTTTCGTTTTGAATCGAAAACTTCTTGACAGCGACACGTCTGGTCAGTCATTTAAAGTATGCGGAGAACTCACTTTATCGTAGTTCCGCCATAAGTCGTGGGTAGGCGAGCCCGCATGAAAATAGGCGTTCTCACCATCGCCACTATATCCACTGTAGGCGCCGATAGCCGACATCGTTGATTTTAGTATGATACGATTGATAGATGCATATGCTCACGCTCTCCGGTTGTGCAGTCCGATAAATGTTATATAATAATGTATTATTGCAGTGTTTCCTGCAAACGGCCGATTCCATGAAAAAATCGTTGGCTTCGTCGAAAGGTGGTGAGAAAGTAAAAGTAGATGCAATTGATAATTAGTTTGTGCAGGTTCACGATCCTATGCTAGAATACATCCATAATTATAATGCATTCGTAGGTATAGCAATAGAACTGTGGATAATTTACAATGTCCTAAAGCTATACAGTAGAGTGACGCACCTCGGATACCTTAGTGATCGGCATTACTAATCTGGCTTGTCACTTCCTTGAGGAGACTTTGAGCGCGCGTGCACAACATCCTGCTATTTTAAAAATCCTCACTACGATTATTACTGACGAATGCTATCAATCCGTATCTTTTAGTTTTAGTTTCTCAAAGGCGACACGGCGTGCATGGCATTTCCGAAAGTACTTCACGAAAGAAATTCATCAAAAATCCGACGCCTTAGTTTCGGACTTAGTAGCCATATAGTTCGAAAGGAAAAAATCTTCGCCTGATCACTCCCTCGATTTAGAAGCGTATCTTGTCAAAATACCAACTTGACACCTGCAGCATTGTCTTGACAACTTTGATTCAAGTTCAATAGATATGTTCATCTGTATTATAATTATTTTGCTTTGGTTTGTCATAGAACAGCGTGCCGCGATTCAACAGTCTATTTTAGTACACTAAAATTATGCAATTTTAGCTTATTTTTTCAAGTTTAGTAGTACTCAGCGTTTAATGCAAACGAACGCTTGTAATACCGTGATGAAAATGTACAAGTACCACCTGAACCGACGCCTCCTAAAGAACTAATACAATTCACGTAAAGGGGGCGTGTCGGGAAAGTTTTTCCCAGACCAGGGCAGTGCGAAAGTAAAATGTTCGTGTACCTGCCAAAACAATGAATTGCAATATTCTATATTTCTCCAAAAACATTGTAATAAGCAGGCAGCGGATCATCGAGGCTAGGCCGTACACGGATAGATAGTCGCACCAACATCCGGAGTTCATAATTACGTAAATCACACAAGACAATATTTAGGGCGCCAAGGTGGCGCAGGCAGGACAGATTTATCTGGCCACAAATGCGAACCATCTACAGCACGCTACCATCCATTGCACTTCGTCTGTGACTGTGGGCAGCCTCTAGTGGTTGGTAAGTCGCAATGGCTTGGGCAGTTCTGTACCCATCTATTACTGATTGAAGTCGAGATTGACGTCAGTCTCCATGCCACCTTCAGAGAACGTGTACTTCGTCTGACATCTTGACATTCGACAAATTGTCGCCAAATCGTAAACACCGTGAGCGACTGCCAGAGATGCAATACGCTGGCTAGAGCTCTGTGTTGAAGAAGTTTACTTCTGCGTCAGATCTCGAAGGGCTTTTCGACGTCTGGGAACCACTTGAAATCGAAGGTAGGAAAAGGTCAAGTAGCTGCAAATTCAAGCCCTAAAGTTCTTTCCCTAACGACCTGTATTATGTATAATAAACGCATGTAGCCACAGCCAGCCCAATATGCGATTCAGTACTACCTGTGTCTCGAAGCTGGTAGCTCATTCGTGAGATATGTCTGTCTTATAATCGTGTCATCCTTTTTTAACCTACGCGCTATGAAGCGACTGCAATATGGAACGTTCATTTGTAGTCAAGAAACTTATCTTGTCGACGTTAACAAACGACGTTGCTCTATCTCATGGTCGGGACAGTATAAAAGAGTTACGACCCGTACAGGGAAATGTGTCGATTCCTACAAGCCGCCAAAATGATGCCCCTATGACCCAACCATATAAATTAGTGGGGCTTATACACTGGTGAGTGTGGTACGTAATTTTTTATCTGCTCTAAGTTTTGTCCACATTTTCAACTCATCGACCTTTTCGTTTCGCAGCTTATCTCAAGCTATTCACCTATTAACTATATACAGACATAGAGAATAGTAAGACCGGATCACTATCAGAGATAAAAAATACCTAACAACTGATAATGGTCAACGACTAGAAAGTGGTCCAGGAGGCGGGTCGAACGACTACAAAGTCAGCACTATCAAATGTGTGTCTTATAGCAGCTAACCACGAACTGCTACTTATTAACTTCTGAAAAGCGTTTTTGGCCGGCGACCGTAACTTGTTGATTAATTACGTCTAGAAACATCGAAACGCTTTGCTTGTTGGAAGCTACATATGCGTTGGTGAAAGATGGTAGCAGATTCGCTGGGAAAAATTCTATATTCTTTTGATTAGAATGCCATATTTAGTTTACCGCCAATACATAATTCAATCGATGTACCGAGTTAGTGCCATGAAACCATATTGTCAACATGACCAAAATATTTACATACACTTACGGTGTGATAAATCGCGTATTAATGTCAAATAACTGAAGACTCGGTTTAGAGTAATCAACACTTGACGTTTTTCTTCTGCAACCCCAGCGTTGAACCGACCAGAAGCTGCTAGACACGAATGGCGATGCCCAAAAATGAGACATCTGATAGGCTCTTTCGTCACAGCCGTATGATCCCGATGTGCAAGGATCTGCGTATTCAGGACCATGTTAACATACGCATACTGTAGAAAATATGCAACATCTCGTAACTTTTCGAATTTAAAATATCATATTAATAGAACCCCTACCGCTGACGTTACCCTGTTTCTGTACTGCAATGTATGCTTTCGTATGTCACTCTCACTTATCTTCAATACCTAAGAAAATTCACGCGTATAAATTAAGTTTTTAAAGTTACATAAATTCAAACCTAAAGGAGAAAAGTATATACCCGGTGAAAAGTAAACCAGTTAAAAAAAAAGATACATAATTAAAAATGCAATAATTTAAGGTGTATTTTCTGCTCTACTGAAGCATCTACCCAACTGTTCCGGTATCTCGACCTACTATTAGCTTGTCGTGGCACAAAATTATTACTGGTTTACCTTTTATTATGACGAGTTTCTCTGACCACGAGCATTACACACAAACTCTATAGTTCGCTTGTAGTGTGCATCTATCTCATTCTGCCCATTCCGTATCTCGTATTAGAACGATGTCGACCAGAGCTGACCGTTGACTACTCAATAGCGGCATCCGATTGCCAATGCCTGGTCCGTTGACAAACCGAACCGATCGCGTTTGTTGTATCTATCTCGCTAGCGCTGTTATTCTCACACGTAACAACAACATAAACATGAGCAGAGCCCGGTTCAACACTTGCCACACTCATAAGGCCACCAGAACAGTTTATGCCGGTCCGAACGGATCTGTCAAAATTACCTTGTCTGCTAATCGGCGGTAGAGACTCAAAGGAACGTTAATACGTTAGAGAAAAGGACGAATCGGCATTGATCTGCTAACGATCGTTTGACAGTTTTCCACGGAAAAGGAATGTATACGAGTAAGTATGCTTGTCTGTCAAGTTCCAACGGTATCCACAAACAGGAAAACAAGGCCAAACGTGTACCGTTAAACCTGATTTAGGTAAGTGAGAGGATATTGCTGAATAGCAAGAGGGTAAAGAACTCAATAAATCGTTCAACAAGGCTAACAGAGCTACCTATAAGCTAGTTTTAATGGTGGTTCGCTACGAAAAGGTGCGTTTCTGAGCAGCGCAATAGAATAGATTAAGCACAATTACGGTAGAATAGAATGGAAATATAAAGAAAATTATCAACAAACAAATAATTGAGGCCGGACAGTTTTGGTTCTAACCAGCTCGGTCGAATGACCGCTAACAACAACAGGTATCATTATGATTCAAAATAACATAAAAACGGAGACAATCACACCTATATAACAAATGCAGAGTTTAGCCCTAATCCAAGAATAATTTCAATATCATTTTAGGTTAGCTAATACCAGTAGATTTGTATTCATACCGCTTTTTTCCCTTGCGCATCTCCTTCGATTTATTAACAAGCAGGCCCCGCAAGCAGGCCACGCGGGCAGACATCTCCGAAGACAAATCCTGCTCTTCTCGGCTTCAATCATTCATCTTGTTCATGTGTTGCGCATCTTGTCGCGCTGTTTAGTCTGCAGGAAGTGGCATTTGACGGTTGTGGGCCAGTGTCTGTCAGCCAGCACCTGGTGCCAGACGCATTCTCTCGTCAAAAAATGCCCACGCTAGCCTATCAGTATAAGTTAGGATTCCATAATAGTGAAATCTTTACGACAGGATGTTGTACTGTTGAAGTTGTAAAAAAGTTACTGAAGTTGTTTAGCTTTATTACTACAGATCTCCGCACAGAGCTCGCTGGGTACATCTTCTGTGCACAATTTTTTATGAGTTACCTTCACTGTTGTGGACCGTCGAAAACGCATGAATTTTACAAATTGGTGACGGTATTTTGCGTGCGGCTTAAGCACTGGGGATGATCGGTCCCGGCCTGATGGCGAATAGAGAAGATCACACAGCGGACACTCAAGAACGCATAAACTGCTTTTTTGCCCTGGCTCGGCCGTATTCGCAACAAATTTCTAGTTACAATTTGTCGCCAATGTATGTACAGGATGAAGGGTTGGCACCGGCTTGGTTCTTGTTGACAGGTTCTTTCTTTAGCCTTGAATTGTTTGCGGAAGGGAGCCGTGTCCAAAGGAACGAACCTGTGAAAAATAGATATCCCATCTAGTAGAGGATAACGTGCAGGTCTCTCAAGTTAGTCATCATTGTTTCGTCGCATAACTTTATAGTTACAGGACTAGTCATGAATATGATAACTAGCCGTAATCACAGACATGTATAACAGTCATCGATGTAACTGCTGTTTTAGCAACGCTTAAATTACTTAGAAGAATAACGATAAGGAATGCTACATGTATTGCCGTCGCCTTAACAGAGTGAAGTAATCTTTGAACTAGGGAATGGTAATAGCGGGTGTATAAGTCAACTTCTAACTTAAAACTGTGAACTAACCAGCATTCGCTAAACGAATCATTGAATCGAAAACGTGCCTCATAAGAACGCATGCGGTTCTTATAGTTTCTTATTTAAACTTCATAGAACATCCAATTCCAACGACAGAGTAAGCGAATGGCCTCGTCTTGCAATGGTCTCTAAGCGCATGGTTTTTTTCCTTTCCTCTCTCTGTCCTTAGCAAAGTGCGCCAGGGGCCAATATGTCGAATGCTCATTCAATTATCTGAATTTGGACAGCAGACGTGTAGAGCCTAGGACGATGTCAGCCAGCGGTCCACCAACAATGCTGTTACTCTTACATCGTATATATCCGTACACGGGTCTACAATAAATGATGGGTAAGAGGTAAACGCTAAAGTGGCTTTTTGTCGAGGGAACGATACCACTCGGTATGATGTCAGTAACTATGGTACGTAGTAGCATAAACGGTGACTAGCGAATGGTAAATTATGCTCTGAGTCAATGCTGTGCCAAAGTGAGTTTAGCGACCATGAAATTGGTAACGCAGATACGCTACACGTGTATCTAACGTACGGTGAGTATGCATGGCTGTTGGAGCACAGGCGTCAGGCGAAAGAATAAAGATAAGTGAGACAAAGTGAGGCCTGTCACTAAGCGAACGTCAATCTAAGAAATGCTAAGTAAGAGCCAACTTAATGGAAAAGGATAAATGGTAGATGAAAAGCTGGTAATTATTAGTTAGTTCGATTCAGAAGGGCGCGATCATTTCTAACTTGAGTAAATTCGCATGTACATATGTTACGCTGTAGGTGATGGTCATGTGGGATCGGGAAGAGCACGAAACGGACAGATATGCGTAGGCATTGCTGTTTCTCTCTGTATGTCATTCATCTGGAATCTAGGACGACGACCCTTTGGACACAGTCCTAGACGGGCGTGTTGTGATCGAAGTGGTGCGATGACACGTCGACGAATCAATTTAATCCCGTGTACTTCAGTTGTGTATCAGGTTGCTCTTTCGAACACCTTCCTTAACCCACTTTGAATATAAATAATACCCTAGAAATAGTAGGACAGACTGTCGACGATAGCTCTTACATATCTCGAAAGGAAACATATCGGTTCTTGTCCCTATATTGATTAGCAATTATCTTGAATTACTTCAACTGGCCACTTTAGTTAATATTAATAATTATCGTATAGAACGTATAGCTTAAAACATGAAGCCTGCTCAGACATGCTCTTTCAATCGATATCGAAAATAAACAATGAAATTTGCCAAGTTGAAGTCCTAATATTCTAATGAAGTGCCATTTGAAAAGTCATTTGATACAAAGAGTAGCAATCGGGAGATCTGAATGGTGTGCTTCTTTGTTTTTGTCTAGTTATCTGTAAATGGCGGCTTGTCTTTGGAAGGTTATGGAATAAATAGAGTCGGGTTTCTAGCAAAGAGGTCACATTAATATAATACAGAGACCAGCAATGATTTTCCCGTTTGCGCCCGGCCGCGTATTTCAATTGTAAATTCAGAAGTGGTTTTCGATATCATCTTCTTTGAGCCCAACAATCCAATATTTTTTTTTTAATTCTGTTATAGGTCTTCGTCCTTCTCCTTTCTTCGGTCACTTTGACTGCTCAGTGTCGTCTGCTCTTAATTCCAAAGGGAAAAGAATTTCTCTTGATGACATCAACAATCTTTCGTATCTTCTTGTACTATCCGAGAGTTTCAAGTCCGACTGAAGAAGGCAAAGCCGAAATTGCTATTCCTATACTCGTGGTCGAACAGGAAGTACAAATATCAGTTGTCTTTTTGGCCTGTTTTATTCGTTGTACAATTGTGCGTCTCTCGTAATGGTTTAAATATTTATCGTGTTGTTAGGCCAATTGACTTAAGCTCCCTAAAATGCCATAGTGCAATTAGTTTTGCATAGACGTCCTTAGAATGGTCAGTTTTTTGCTCTACTTTATACCACAAAATGAAGCCACATGAAAACAGTAGAGTTTAGTAGAATAATAAATCGATTTATCATCAAAACTTTTGTCAGAACTTTGTTGGGTTAAAAAGTGTTGTGATTATTAGTAGAGCCTAAAGATAATAGGCTTAGGATAATAGGACCTTCCTGCATGATCTTACATTAGCCTCGCTACATAAGTCTATCTTCGTTAAGTTACGTCCTACCAGCAACTTGTTTGCGATACATTCTTCTTTATACTATAGCATTGCTTTGAGTTTTAGGGTAACAAAAAAACAGATCAGTATGTTTATACTATATATATATATATATATATATATATATATATATATATAACGTGTATCGTAATTGTTAGCTCGTTCTGGCAGAGGGATTTACTCGCATAATATTGGCTAAGATAACAGTTTCGCGCAAAAGGCTACCACGTTGTAGCCATCTTGTAGCTAGAATTGCATGGTATTTATTCGCAGTGAATGGTACGACAACCCTATCGGGGACTAATTGAGCTTTTGTTAAGCGTTTCGTTATCTTTCTCAATGTACACTGCCGACTAGATAGATATCCCATATAGGCTATAATAGTGGAAGGTATTCAGATAAATGTAAATAAAAAAAAAAAAAATAAAATAAATTACGAGTTTCGTTTATTAAAGGACACCTTCTACCCAGAAGATGCCGGCAAGACAAATGTTATGTCTCACTCCACTCTATGCAGGTGGGCAGCTTTCAGATGTTATGTCTCTAGTCTCGTAGATATGAGCGGAGCGCAAACAGCACCATGTGATGGAGAATGACTAAAAAGCCGGGTCGTTTGACACAGGCAATTGAAGAAAAACCTTAAGAACTGTTTTACTTTACCCAATTTTTATCGGCAGTCGGCACCGTAACAAAACATAGCGTAACACAACTAGGGAATACTGTAATAGAAACAGCATCAAAGCCAGAAGCCGCGCTCACATCGTTATATAGTAGCAGGCAAACTATGAAAAATTGTTGTTGTTATTATTGCTATTTCTAGTTGCGACAACGATGATCATATGGGTTGTTCTGTCGCAGTTGCCTACGTTTTTTCTTGGGTATCTGTGTATCACTATGAGGGTAATGGTTGAATTGATTTGATGTAGGCTGCCTACTGCGCAAGAGGGATGATGTTGTTGTTTGTTGAGGTCTGCGTATCTCCCAGAGTAAGTCGATCTTTTCCTTTTGATCCGTTGTGGTCGGTGGTGTCTCTCCATTCGGCGTGTATATGTGTGTCAATGTATGATAACACGAAGATCTGATCGTTGA